GCAGGATTGTTTGTTTTGGGTCATCTGATGCCTGAGCCTGTCGATGCCTTGTGATCACACAGGCAGCCTCCTCTTTCACCTATGGAGCGGCTGGCAGGTTTCAACCGCTGACCTTGTGGCTAGCAGCCCAATGCCTCACCCAGGGTGCCACCAGGGTGTCTTCCTGGGACCTAGAAGCCAGTGACTGTCAGTCGACCTTGACCCATGGTGACCTCACCTATGTCAGTGTTGCAGGGTGCTCCCTGTGACTCTCCGTGGTGGTTTCTCCGGAGGGGCCAGAGGGAAGGAAGCAGGTCACCAGGCCTTTATTCAGAGACACCTCTGATGGGGGTGTTGTTTAGTGACTCCTCTTCCCAAACCCTTCCTCCATCTCATGTTAGTCCGGGTAGACTAGCGATACTCATACGTGTACAAGAAAGAGCTTTATATAAAGAAAATTGTATATTGAGAAAACATCCCAGCACAGTCCAGATCAAGTCCCTAAGTCCAATATTAGCCCATATGTCCAATACCAGTCTGTAAATTCCTCTTCAGACTCATGCAACACATGCAATGATGCCCAATGCAGGAAGATCACAGGTCAGTGGTGGAAAGCCTTGTGGATCCAGTGGCGGTGGAAGCAGCTCAGCACAGGCCTGGGGCTCCACATAGCTCCAGGTGTCTTGTAAACAGGAGTGTCTCGCAGAGAGTGAGTGTGTCCTGCCTCCAGTGAGCTATTTATCTCTTTCATGCCTCCAAATGAGGTCATCAAGCTGCGACCTGATTGACAGGCTAACCTCCATCCCTTCACTCTTAATAGTCTCAAGTTGGCACCAGATGATGTAACTACCATAGTCCCCTTCCCTTCCTCTGCTCTAGATTGTCTCTCTTCCTCATCGTTGGCCTGGTCTCCCTTCTGCTGCCCCTGCATTCATTCATTCATTCATAATCTCCAGCCTCCTCTCTCTCTTGTGTCATTCACTCATTCCATCTAACCTCCTGCCTGATTGCCAATGCCAATGAGTTGATGCTAGGTGACCCCGCCCTCGGTTCTTCTACGGGAACTCCCTGCTCCCCGAGGATGCAGAAGAGCCCCACCCAACCCAACGCACACCAGAGAAGGGTTAGCACATGGTGGGAAGTGTGTGTACCATCAGAGGACGCTCCCCAAAAGCACATCATGGAAGAACACAGCAAAGCGAGGCACTGGGGCTTGGAGACAAAATCCAGGATGATCCCTAAAGATGAGAAGGCAGATTGCCAAAGGGTCTGCGGAGGGGGCCTGGGTGGCAGGAGAAAGGGGTGGGTGGGCTGGAGGAAGGGCCAGCGGTTGCTTGATCTTCCAGACGAATGACCAAGTGTCTCCTTCAGCCCCAGCATCTCAGAGTCCTTCAGGTTCTGGGTCCAAACTGGAAGGAGACTAGGATTCACTTCCGTTTGTGCCCCGAGTCTCACACGAGGTTAAGCGCTTGGCTGCTAGATCAAACGTCAGTGGTTCAAACCCACCAGTGGGCTCTGTCGCACAGTGAACCACCGTATGACAGCACTTCTGAGGCTGCCCGTCCCTCGCTTTGACAGAGCACTGGCGGTACAGTGTTTATGCATTGGGCTGTGAACGGCAAGATCAGCGTTTCAAAAAGCACCGGCACTCCTGGGAGAAAAATGAGGTTTTCTACTCCGGTAAAGACTCACAGCCTCGGAAACTCACAGGGTCAGTTCTACTCCATCCTATAGGGACGCGATGAGTCAGCATCAACTCGATGGCAATGATTTTTTTTGGGGGGAGAGGGGTGTTGGAGGTTAGCAGCCACGTGCTTAGCCTGTGGCGCCACCAAGGCTCCTTTATGTAAAGATTGTTATCTTTGGAACCCCCTTGGGGCCAGTTCTGCCCCTTCCTATGGGGACACCATGAGTGGGCAGCACCCCGCAGCAGTGGGCTTGGATCTATTTGGCTTAGACACGGGCTAGGATTGCCCCGGGTGGTGAGAACAGTCTAGCGAGGAAGACGACTATCCGGAAGGCCTGACCATCTGCCTCCCCAGGGACCCAGCCTTCAAGACCCTTGGGAACAAATTCAGCGTGACACAACAGGCGCAGGGGGGTCAATAGAGCTCCCAGGTAGCGTAGCAGTCAAAGCGCCCCGCGGGTGGACCACACCCCCAGCTGCTCTGTGGAAGGAAGCTCTGGCCGAAGACTTCTGTAAGGGCTACAGCCTAAGAAGCCCTGGTGGGGGTGGGGGTGGAGTTCTGCTCTGCCCCAAAGGGTAACTGTGGACCCGAAGGAATCAACCCCACTCCATGGTCCTGGGTTTGGTGATTTGTTTGTTTGTGCTTCCTTTAATATTGCGGGTGGTACCTAAAAATGGAAGACTGAAAAGGAGTCAGTGCATCTGAACTGTGGTGTTCCGGAAGACTACTGAAAGCCCTGGGGACTGCCTGAGAGGTCAACACTGAGACACGGACGGAGATAGGATTGAGACAAAGAGCGTGGGGTTACGAGCGGCTTTATTGGGGCAGGGAAAGAGCTCCCGGGAGGGAAGGGAGAGTAGAGAAAGGGACAGGAGCATCTTGAGCTCCAGGGCGGGTTCTGAGACCCAGCGAGTTGGGTCAGGGACATCGCAGCTTGTCGGTGAGACGGTGGGAGATATCTAGGGCTCGAGCTAAGGAAGTAGATGTTGACAGAAGGAAGGGAGATTTTTTTTTT